TAATAAAAATTATTGAATTAAAAAGTTACACAAAAAATAAAAATTTTAAATAGTTAATTTGATATTGATATTGATATATTTTTGTCAAATTTTTATGATATCTTCAAATTTATATTTTATTTAAAAATAAAAACAGTATCGTTTTTTCAAAATTACCTGAGACTATACTATAACATCGACTGAGATAAAGAACAAAATAAAATATTAAAATCAAGATTTTTATCGCAATGCATTGTACGTGTATCTTTCTAGTCTCTTAAAAACCATTTTTATATTAATACATATGACTTAAAATTTAAGATTATAAGTAAAATATGTATGAATATCCATTTGAATTTTGTAACAATACAGGATAAACTTTTAATTTTAAATATAAAAAATCTAAAATACAATAATTATTTAATATAATACTTAATTATTATCCTTATAAAAAAATTACATTATTAAACAAAAAAATAAATTACTTTGTTATTCAATCTAAATTAAATGATAGTAAAAAAATTAAATTAAAAATTACACAAGAAAACTAGAATCTTTTATATTTTTTTCAATTTAAATATATATTTTATCCAAAAAAAATACTATCGATTTCTTAAAACTACATAAAATCGTATTATATCATGTATAAAGACAAAGAATAAAACAAAACTTTAAAATCAAGATGTATCTCGTTGTATTACACAAATACATTTCTAATCAATGAAAAACGGTATTGATATATCTATACTATATTATAAAGCATTTGACAAAAACTCTTAAAAACCATTTTTTATGCATGAAGTACTGTATATTGATGAATATTACTTAAAATTCAAGATTACAAGTAAATTATGCATAAGCACAACTTATTAAAGCTCCATGTTTGAATTCGTGTAACTAACTGCGGATAAACATAATCAAATAAAGAATAAACATCTTATTTTAAAATATATAAAATCAAAAATATAATTAGGATAATTATCGAGTTATAATAAAATAATTAATTATTATTTTTATAAGAAAATTATATTATTAAACAAATATAAATTACTTCGTTATCGAACCTAAATTAAATTATAATTAAAAAATTGATTTAAAAAATTACACAAAAAATAGGAATTTTAAATAGTTAATTTGATACTAATATCGATATATATATTTATCAAATTTTTATGATATTTTCAAGTTTATATTTTATCAAAAATAAAGACATCATCGGTTTTTTCAAAATCATATAAGACCATACTATAATTTCGACTGAGATAAAGAATAAAATAAAATATTAAAATCAAGATGTATCTCGTTGTATTACGTGAATGCCCCTCTAGTTTTCTTTAAAAAAATATATTAAAAGTCAAAAAATTTAAAAAGATTACTTTTTATTTTATCAATAGCTTTATTTTAGCAATTCTAAGATATGTTATTGAAATATTTAATAAAATATTATTCTTGTCTTCTAAACATTTATTTTTAATATTTTTTATTGGTGAAAAAAATATGAAATAATATTTTTTTCTTGCTTTTTAGAGATTTCTCTAAAGTTAGAGATTTTTACGGTCTTTTTTTTCTTTATTTTATAATATAAGATAGCATAGCTGTTGGAGTTGGAGATGCTCTTAAGCCTTTAAACTTGAGTATCTCCAACACAATAGATATTCTGTATTTTCTCTTTTTTCTTTTAAATTTGAAAATTTATCCATTCTCTCCTTTATTTTTTCTATTTTGTAGAAGAGTTTAACATAGCTAATGGAGCAAACTTTTTTCAATTTTCCAGAATTTCTAAAATAACATAGTTGTTGGAGATGCGTTTATACAATCAAATAAAAGTGGAGAATAATAGGATTCTTTGTATAAAAAAACGTCATCTTAGGAAGTATTGGTTGACAATATAGAGATACAAGACACATGACCAAGATCATGAACAAGTTAGGGGTTGCTTGACGGTTGCTTGACAGTTGCTGTATGGTTTGGAGTAAAACGATTACGTGATCAAAATGATTAAAAAATCTCTTATTATATAGTACAAAATGAAATATAATTGCTCGGTAATTATTTACAACAAATCATGGCGCTGAATGGTTAAGGGAGACCCATGATACAAAATCATTCAAAGGGTTTTAGAACCATTAAGAGGCAGATTTTTTTTTTGTCAAACAAGATCTACTTCTTAATGATTTGGAGAACGCCTCTTAATGAAACTATTAAGAGGTAAACAAACAATCCTTAGTCAATACAATGATATGGTTTCAGATTCATACTTCCAATTCTTTCAACATATAAAGATGAAAACCGTATACTTTTTACTGATTAAAACAATGAATACCATGCGTTTCTCCAACTGCTAAAAAACACTGATGGCTCGAAAAGCAAACAGTTGAATTAAATCGAACTCTGAAGAACTTTCATATCATCATGTAGATAGAAAGTTGATTTCTCAAGTATTCCTACCTAAGTTCCTAGTAAGCGTAGCAGCATTTTGAAAAATAGAACAGTAGAAAGAATCAACTGATAAGTAACAACATCAACATGGTTTGGCATATAAATCCAATGACCATCAAAGAGGGCGAGAGCCTCGCGACGACTTGTACGATGCAACAGAGTTCATCATCTAATGACGGTTCTTGGCTAGAGGGCGACTCAGACCCTTGTGATGACTTAGGACCCCATCATCATCCCGAGGTTACCCAGGGGTATGAGCCTCGGTTTTTCTAAACGGCACCTTTCAACCATCACCAAATGCCACCTCCCAACCCATATGTATCGAGGTGGGAGTAGTTATCGACCATCGTCAGTGATTACTATGGATATAAGGAAGTTCATGACCCTCTTCATTAGCAGTTGTATAGACGTATTTATAAGGTGGAGAGGCTTTGCCAACAGTTAAGCTCTTGGCAGGTAAGTGTGTAACTTAACTTATCAGGCAGAGTTTTTAAAGAAGTCGAAATACAGGGACCACAATGCAATTATCGACTATGTTAAAAGAAGACGAAATACAGGGACCACAATGCAATTATCGACTATGTTAAAAGAAGCGAAATACAGGGACCACAATGCAATTATCGAATATGTTAAACCAAATACTCATCGACTGTAGTTTTAGTGAAGGAGCAGACAAATGACGATGGCGATCTCACCGTCTCTGCTTCCCGCCCTTTTGTTATTTTATCTCTTAACCATTTGTAAATCAATGGCTCTAATTTCTCAATTTTCAAGCACTGGCGGCGATGATCACAGCCATTTGATCGATGAAATTCGAGAAGCGGAGCTGAACGTCGTTCGATTAGGTAAATTTGTGCTTTGATCTCGCAAGATTTTATCTTCAGGATCAACAGTTCATCAATGGAATAGTTGGTTTTATGATTCTTGATATGTTAAAGGCTTGATTCTGATTATTGATGTGCTTTTGATCTAATCGTTATTCTTTACTGGTTTATTATTCAGCATTAATGTATTTATTACCCTTTCCATTAGCTTTACAGTATGGCCTATTTGTTTGGAAAACTGATAGCATTTTAATCTTTTTGGGTCAGAGTTCTCAAATTGGGAACTGCCATGGATGAAAATTCTATAATCGTAGTACTACTTACCATCTTCGATGTAGTTATCAGAGGTTTCTCAAATTTATGCCATTGTGCTTTTGAGTTGAAAAACTTAGTAATTTAATAACAGTACGTTGGGTCCAAAGTTAGCTTATATATTTTGACTATGGAAGGCAAACTTAAGAAATCCAAAAACTTAATTTGATACTTAAAGAGCTAGGAGGGGCTTTCATGGACACAATGCTCAGCTTTTTGGGGTAGAGGACACATATGCTTACATCTCAACCCCGACCCTACTTTTAAGTGGGATTTATTGGTTCGTTTAGTGCGTACCTGCCATTTCATGTCAACCCAAAAATCATGAAGCAAGCTCAGAGAAGGTTGCTGAAGCGGGAAAAATAAATAAAATAGAAAGAAAATTGATAATGGTTCTTATGAATATTGTTTTGTCCAATCAACAATGTTGTTCATGTGGATATCAATGCAGAAACTATCCTTGAAGAAAGCATTTCAATAGTAGATTCCAAAAATCTTTATATCAAAGAAAGTGAGAAGCTGGTTGAGGAGATGACAAGTGAAGTTGATCATCTACAATCTGTTCTGTTAACCATGAAGGTTGGCCACAGTATCTTGATTCATTTGTTTTTTCAGTTTTTTTAAGGTTTGACCAACTATTATCAAGGGACATGTTCCAACAATAAAAAAATAGTGTGCATGCTTCCCTTTATGCCACCGCTGATCAACTTTGCATTGTGACAGAGCAATATAGTTTGTTACCTTTCCATTAAATTAATTAAGGTCACAATTGTAGCTGTGTAAAAGCCCTTTATTCACTTATTCCGTTTCTTAATTGTCCAGTTAATTCCTGATATTGTGTCGTGTTAAGCATTCAGCATATTGAAATGACATGTCTGTATGCTGCACTGCAACACCATTTTTAAACAGCTGGTTGAATGACATTTCTATCTAGATTTGTATGTCTATGTTGGCTAAACTTCATTCCTATTGTAGAAGATACATCAAGAGGCTTAGTGTTAGAGTACGGAATAAAGCTGTTTTATGTATCAATATTGCTTTAGCATTGCATGATTTTACTTCTTGTGGTTGTAGAATTATTCTTCATCTGCAAATGAAAGGCTTAATCGGCTGAAAAAAGAGGTTCAGTGCTATTCAATGTATTTTTGATTTTTCATTTATCTCACTTGCAACAAATGAAAGCAGCACGATATAGCTGTCTTCAGGTTCAACTTCTCGGTGCTGCTGCAAGAAGAAACACATTTGAGCTTCACATCTTGGAGTCCAAAGCACAAGATGCTGAGAGTAGGCTGGAAATAACCAAGTCAAGGGTTGAAATGGTCAGTGATTGCTTTCATTTATTAGTTTGATACAACATGATGGTTAAAGCCCCCCCCCCCCCCCCCTCTTGTTTTTAGGACAATGGCACATTATTTCTATTATCTGGGGATAACGAAGCCACGGTTCTTAATTCAATGGAGGTGGTTTTACAATAAGATGTTTGAGGCCTTCATTTTCTGTTATTCTGTACGCTTTTTGCTTGACCAAAACTTCAAAAAGTAAGCAGTGGCATATGGGAATTATTTGCTCCTCCTTCAAGTGAAGTCAACTTCATCTTAAAAATAACGCATGATTTATGAAACAAAAGAATATGATGAAACATGCTTTGCAGGAAAAATTAAGTGATTTGAACATGGTATACTTCAAACAATGAAAAGATTAGAAACCATAATTAAAGGCAAGAATATATATATGACTTCCCACTTTACTGTTAAACATAACCTTCATTCATTTTTCTCCTGGAAGTTTCAAGTATAGAAAGTCTTATGGTTGTAATTTAAACTTCACTTCCATATGTCTTGTTGTGGTAGTTACAACCCAACGAGGATGAATTATCTTATGAAAATTTTGCCATTAGAACTTCAACAGAGGTATTGCCTGCATTTTCAGTGTACCAATCAGAAATAATTTAAACAGGAATTGGTCTGTCATGGTTTAATAGGGGGCTAGGGGTGACTATGCAAATTGCTCTTGGACTTGGCCTACATGCTAATACTTGCAAACCACACTACAGCAATAAGAAATCCATTTTTTATATTCAACGATGTACCTTAAGATACTTTTCACACTCCATTTTTGCCATGCTAGCATGCAACTTTAGGAGCTTCTTGGTCCATCAAAATTAGGGCAAAATGTAACAAAGTTTGGTTTAGATCCTATTTTATGTAACAAAGAAGTTTTTTTCTCAATCGATTGTAATAAAGTTTCAAAATTTTCTATTTTGAACTTAATTTGACCAGTAACCTGCCGTTCTCGTATTTGATAACATGGACACAAATACACACGAATACGACAAACTTCGCATCCATGTTGTCACATGTTACAAGATCAACAAGTCCGGTCAAAATGGGTACAAAATAGGAAACTTTGAAACTTCATCACATTGATCGAGAAAAAAATTCTTTTCTACACTTAATAGGAATTAAGGCAATATTCGCTGCATTTTTGATGCATTTTGCTCTTAAATAAAGTAACTTTCAGAAATACCTTTTATATGTAAATGTTACCTCAAACCTAAAGTATGTAGTATGTACTTGCAATAAAAACTAAAAAGTGTTGCATTTAAATGGACCGAGTAAGCTCCTCAAAATGTATGCCAAATTGTAAATCTTGTAATTTCAATGGGACATTACAAAGCAAGAATCTGTGGTACAGTAATAGTCATACTAAAGATGTTGACACAATCTGGATTCTATTTGGAAACATGTTAAATTAGCCTCCACCCAGACATTGCCATGGAAACATCATTTTCTTAATCCTGATTAAAGGCGGGGGTCTGTACGGAAACAATGTCTCTACTCCAAGGGTGGAGTTAACATTTGCATATATCATACCGTCACAGACCCTACTTGTGGGATTTAATGGGTTCGTTTAGTCTGGTTGGTTTATGTTGCCATTGCATCTTATAATTTCCACATTTTAATTTCTCAAGCTCTACACTTCTTCCAAAATCATAGAATAGATTATCTCCTTGTCATTGTTTATGCAAACAGATGGCATCAATTGTGACTGAACAGTGGATTCAGATTCAACATCTTGAACAGGCTCTTGAAATTGCCAAAGTAATCTTCTTCTATTGTCATTCTTATGTATGATTTCATTGGTTATAAACTTGTGAGGGAGCTTTATATTTAATTTTTCATTACAGAGGAATAGTAAAGAGATCAAAAAGCAACTTAGCTCCATAAGATGCTCCTTTCTGAAGGTACTGACACATTCTTTTGCCTTCATTGTTGTATATAATGCCTGAGACGTTTTCTATTTGATTTTCATACTGACTTTGAATGCCAAACAAATTCTTTAAGTTTCAGAATCGATATGAATAATTGGCTGAGGAAAAAGGCAAAAAACACATATAAATGGTACTATAAATAGAAAAGGATGGTAGTAAAAATGCGAAAGAATTAGTAATAACAGTAATTATAGCAAATACAAGTTTGACTTTCAAAGTATCAGCTAATTCCATGTGATTTTGCACACACTGAATCTTGATGGGTGCTCCCAAGTGTTCACTTTCATATTCATACTTTTTTCTTCCACAACTTGTTTTTAGATAACTCCCTTTTCTAGAGCAACATTTCGTAAATCCAGAGCGGTGCTGCTATGGTGCATTGTAAATCTGTAGCGGAACCTCTACATTGCTCTGGATTTGGGAACTCAAGTTCCGGTAAAGGAGGTAGCCTATGTTATCGCTCTAGTAACAAGTTATAACAGTGATGGACTATTGTTTTTAGTTTATACAAAGCCAATTTGGAAATCTTCTTGATGATTGGTGGGAAGTGCTGGAAAGAACTTGGTCCGTGGCAAAACAAAATCATCACCAGGTATCACCTGAATACACTTTTTGTCCCGCTGACTGAAAAAGAGAACCGTCACAAATATTGGTGGCATGAACTGATTGGGTTATTTAGGAGAATAACCTTCAGACTGAAGTTTCAAAAATGCATGACCTTCTGGAAGAATTAAGATGTCTTAATATAACAGATGAATGCCTCTTCCTAACACAAAAATGCCTCAAAATCTGTCAGAAGGTCATGCATTTAAAAATATCTGTTTGAAGGTTATTATTCTAAATAACCCGGAAATGATTGGCCCCTCTATAGCAAAGTCAAAAACACTCCAAACTTTGAAGCAACTGCTAATTGTTTCACGCCATTTTCCATCTGTGATGTGGATCACTATTTGTGTTGTTATGGCTATAGCATATCTCGACAGAAACATGCATAACATTGTCAATATTTTCACAAATCAAATGTGGCATATAATGATTATTCTGTTCTTCTTATGTTCAAATGTTAAACGTGGTTAATTCTTTTACAAGACAAATGATTTGTTTGTAGACTATCTGTGACTGCCATTAAAACCTTCCGGCAGCACAATTGTATTGTTACAAAGGGCAGAATACAACCAAGTTTGGTTGAGTTGTACCAAGTTTTTTTTTTCAATCGGTGTAACAAAGCTACAAAATTTCAATTTTGTACCCATTTTGATAGGTAAGTTGTTGATCTCATGGTATTTGATGACTTGGATACCCTATGGGGAAGGGAATGATAAACTTGGCATTCACGTCATCAAATGCTAGAAAATCAGTCAAAATGAGTATAAAATAGGAAATTTTGAAACTTTGTTGCATTGATTGGGGGAATTATTTTTTGCTACACTAAATAGGGCAAACTTTGTTGCATATTGCTGCATTTTGCGCTTACAAATTTTTATGTACTCTGCAATGACAATGTCTATCATGCAATGACCCAAAGATAAATTTGTGAACTTACTTGACTGCTCACCTAGAATGGTTAGTTAATCCCCAAGTAAGAAAAACATGTTGTTGTTTAGAGCTTTGGATTAACGAGGCATCATCAATGGAGTTGTGTTGACAAAAATATTGACAACTCCATATTCTTTTCAGCTGCAACGGTTTGTTATGAACAAAATGCAAAAATGGAAATACACTGCTGCTTATGCCAACAACGAAGTAGTCTTTTTTGTGGTAAGATCCCTTTTTTGCTATTCTTCTGTTTCTTGAAAACCTACCGACTTAGTAAGAGGGAAGGTTCTAAATGGCATGAGACATTGCATGTGGCTAGGTCAAACCTCAAGTTTTAGCACCCACGATAGGTCATGGCCTTTATAAGGTGTTGTGGCTTCATGTGGCAAGTCGGTATGCCATGATATATAATTTTATATATATACATATATATTTTCTACTATTAATCAATGATATTTAACAATTTAGTGTTTTATCTAAAATAACACAAGAAAAGTCATATACTGATATACGAGGTTACAAAAATTATTATATCAAAAGCTTATAACAATGTAAAAAGAAAAAAAAAAGGTGAACTTCTAAGGAAAAAAATTATATAGTGAAATAACGTGTTCAAAAAAACTTGCGACAAAAAGGCGCCTTGATGGCATGCATGACGCCTTACACGCCATGGCAGTCGCTATTTGAACCACAACTACAGTATATCAAAATCATCTTTGTGCATTAAAAATTTGCATACTGCAGGCATCCGCTCTAATCACCTTCCCTGCTTTGAGCCTGGGGGTGTTTCTATTGAACAATTTTTGCTAGTGAAGGTGCCATGGAACCCCCACCGTCCACCAGTCGCCAGGTATTATTTCCGGGGAGTCTGATAGATTGATGAACACAATAGTTTATTAGAGCCCTTTTCTCCAGAGGTAGAATGATAGAATTCAAAGAAATCCACAACTCAGACACCCTTGTACCATCATCCCTCAAGATATAGCCATTATAGCGTTATGCATAATGTTACCACTTTTTGTGGCTTCGATTTGGTCAGCTAGGGTTTAGGTCAGTTAGTATGAAATTTACTGGGTTCGTTTTGATTGGTGCTTTTCGTCATTTTTTTTATGTTTTTTTAATAGTGTGCTATACAGCTTCTCCTGTTTGTTACTCTATGGTTTAGCCATGTAGTTTTTTACATTTATCTTGGCTGTTGGAAAACAAAATTTAGAAATGCAGAAAAATACAAGTCTGCCCATGAACATGGATCCTTCTGAAAATTTGTGATTTTTTATACAAAATCTTTTTTTTATTGAATATAGCAATTCTTGCATTAAGACAGTGATAAACAAAAAAAAATCAAATTTGATATAGGGGTGTTAAATGCATAGGGAATTGAATTCGTTTAATTTCTTTGGACAACTGTCTGGTAATGTTGGTTTTAGTCATCTTCTTATATTCCAGATGATTTTATAATACCTATCACTAGTATGCCTTTAGTTAATCCATATAATATATTTCTAAGCCCAATATTTCTTTTTCAAAAAGAGTCAAAAAAAAATTGATAGGATCCATCTCTCACGAGCAAGTTAAGGAGTTTGTCCAAGCTTCTAAATTGACTCCCACCAACTCCCAGTTACTACATCAGAGCACTTAGTGACACTGTCCCTTCCAACAGACCTCCTTAGACATTGCATGGCTCAAGGATATACACATATCCATTTTGGAGCTATCAGACTAGCCCTTACCTTCCATGGTAGGAAAGGCCACCCTGCTTTCACTCTTCAACTTCTTCACCTCTTCATCCCTTGTTTCTTCACTTTTTTCTTCATGTTACATATTATAATTATTTTAAAATAACAGTAAAAAAAACATTGATATACAAAATTAATAAAAAAATTAAACATTACAAGATGATTGTGTCAACCTTTACAAGATGATATATTTTGCACGAAGCTTGATTTATCATCGTGTTAATCTTTACAAAATGATGATATTAGTTGTGAAGATGAAATTCAAATGTTTACCGAAGAATTTAACAAACAATCGATCATCTTGTAGGTTCAGTTTTCAAAAGTAGATAAAAGAGATAACTAATGCATAAAAAACATGGGTTCGTGAAGTAGTTGTTAACAAGACTACTCGCCCTCGTTGAAGGATAAACTTTTTATAAAACCTCAGGTTGATTCGTCTTTTACAGCTAAAGTCGATCCGTATTTTACAACTTATGTTGATCTATCTTTTACAGCTTGAAAGACTCTTTAGACGTAATTGTAGAATAAGTAAAAATGTAATATAAATCTATCTTATTTATATGTCAAATCTTGTTTTTTAATGTTTTATTTTTATAATTATATAATTATTTAGAAAAATAATAGTAATGTTTATATTAATAAGTATATATTTATT